CCCCCCCCCGACCTCCCAGCGGCTGAAAGTCCCCGTGGCACCCCAATTTTCAGGGGCAAACCAATGATCTGGCAGTTGTGGGGGCGTTCAGGCTTCCTCCTGGTAAGGCCCGGCGGCTGAGGGACCCCACCTTCCCGCCTTCCCAAGGGGCACCTCCGGCCTGGCAGTGCCCCATCCGGGGTCTGAGCAGGAAGAGCCGTCGTTATGCGTCACCCCCCCCTCCCCGTCCCCGCAGCGTTTCCATGAGGACGCGACTCGCTGCCCTCCACCACAGCAGGGGACAGAGGGTGGTTGCAATTGTCCTTGTCACAGGTTTGGGGGGGCAGGGCCCCAGCCCAGGCAGCCCCCCGACCCCCCAGCCCTCCAAGGGAGGCCTCCCGCCTCCTCGCTGCCCCCCACATCCCCCCCGTTCACCAGGGGGCACCGGGCAACCTCCCCAACCTGCCTCTGGCACTAACCTCTCCAGGTCCACGGGCCGCGGACCCTTTTCCGAGGGAGGGGCTTCCTCCTCCTGCACCCCTTTCCCATCGCCCCCACCCCGCCCTGCACAGATAGGGGAGGGCCCGGATGGCCCGTGTGGCTGTGCTCCCCCCACATGGCATGCTCTTGGCACACAAGACGAGAGATGGAAGGAAAGGGGGGGGCCATGATGGGTGGACAGCGGTGGGGTGGGTGGGAGGGGGAACGACATGCCGGCCACAGCGACAGAGGACCTCCTACTCAGTGGCGCCTCTGATCCACCCCCCGGCCAGTGGGGGACAGGAGGCCACGGGGAAAGGAAGGGGCGGAGAGCATCCCCCTCCCAGCCAGGGGAAGGTGGGGGGGTCTGGGGAAGGAGTGCCTGCAGGACCCACCTGGTCTGCCCCACACGGATGGCGGGGTGCCCTGGTCCCTCAAGTGACAAAACCGGGGCCACACAGAGTTACCTGGTAAACAGCTAGGATGAAAGGGAGAAAACACAGGGGATCAGGGTGGGGGGGCCGGGGCAGCCGCAGGGCCGCAGAGAAGGGAGGCAGTCGGGGGGGGCGGGGCTGCTGTGGGGTGACTCGCCAGACCCACAGAGACCCCACGCTCCACCCACAGGTGCGTTTCTCGGGAGGGGGGCCCTCCGCCCAGCCACTGGGGGCCCGGCGGTCTTCCGGCCGGAGGGGGGGACGAGGATGAGGAGGGGAGCTGCCCTGCCCCCTTCCATCTGGGCTACACCTCCTGCGACCCCCCCCTCCCCGGGCTGCTGTCTCCAGGTCCCCCCCCCGCCTCCCCCCCCCCCCCCCACCCACCCACCCACCCGGCTGCCCCAGGGCCCTCTCGGAGGGCAGGGCTGGGCACGGAGGGGGCCAGGAGAGCCAACCCCGCGGCCGGAGGGGGGGATCCCCTCTTCCCGAGGCTCAGGAGGAGGACGAGCAGCCACATCCGGAGGAGCAAGCGGGGGGGGGAGAGGGGGGAGACGAGGACGGGAGGGGTGGGGGGCGGATGGAGGATGGAGACATGGGAAAGGACAATGACATTGTAATTTCCACCTGAGCGTCGAGCAGCCGCTTCCGGGTTTCGGAGGTGTCGAGGGCGGCCGAGTGATCCCTGCGCAGCTCCTCCTCCACTAACATCAGCCTGCAGGGACAAGCTTCACTGGAGTCAATCCGGGCCCCCCCCACCCGGCAGGCAGGCGGCGGGAGCCGGGGCCGCCAGCAGCTGCGGGAACCGGGGGCTCCCCAATGCGACGGGGCCCCAGAGACTGCAGCTGGGGCCCCGCCGGTGAGGAGCGCCCCTTGCCACATGCCCCGCCAGCCGAGCCTCCCATTGCCGGTGGGACCCCCCCCTCACCTCCCTCACAAGGTGAGGGATCCAAGGCGGGGGCCCCCATCCCTGACCCGGGGCCCCCCAGAGGTTCCCCCGTGGCAGCCCCGCCCTGCAGCTCACCTGCCGATGATGCTCTTGATCTGCGAGTCCTTTTCCACCTGTTGCTGTCGGAGGCGCTTCTCGCTCTGCTCCAGGCGCTGCTGGTACTGCTGGAGGATCTTGCTGGTCTGCTCCTCCTGGCTCAGCAGGCGCCTCTCGTACTCCTCCAGCTTCCGGTTGGACATGTGCAGGCGCTCCTTCAGCGAGTGGATCTCCTCCTCGTACTCCTTCACCTGCAACGGGGGCGAAAGGAGCCTCAGGGCGGGGCCGGCCTATGGCACCCGGGGCCTACGGCGGGGGGGGCCCTCCCTCTCCCAGCCCGAGGGGGTGGCACCCGCCAGAGGGAGGCTCACGCGGTCCAGCCGACTCTCGTCCATGGACTTGGAGTACTCCTTCAACTTGAACTCCTCCCGCTCAATGTGGGAGCTCTCGATGTCTGCCGAGAGGTGAGGCATGTTGGAGACCCAGGCCACGGTCCGCTCCGAGGCCGGCAGGATGGGGTTCAGCGTCGACGGGGTGTGCGAGGTCTGGCGGGGCAAAGGAGCGACGAGGTCAGTCCACACTTGCCCGAGTCTTCCAAATGGCAATGTGCCAAAAAAACACAACCCTATCGGTCTTGCGGCGGGGAGGGAGAGGGCGACACCAGGGCGTGAGGGTCAGCAGAAAGCCCTGGGCCGCCAACACGGGGCCTCCAGTGCTCAGTCTGGGAGACTAGACACCCTTTTTTTGGTCCCTAGCCCAGGACGGGCCAGGGAGAGGTGGTGGGGCACCCATGGCCCCCGTTTCCTTGCCTGCTATTCACACCCCCTTCTTCCAAATTCTCAGGAACTGCAACCAACCGAAATGTTCAATAGCCCAAGAGGATTAGACCATCGCCAACATTGGTACGGTTGGTTTGAGTTGGGTTCACCACCACAGTTGGACCCCAGGCCCCAAGCTCTGCTCAGGTTTCCTGGCATGAGGATTTGAGGGGGGGGTACTCTTGGTGGGCCATGAGAAAATTTTGGTGGGCTGCAGAGAAATGTCACCCCCAGAACACCCCCCAAAAGCAATTAATCCAGGCTGCGCAGGAACACAAGGCTGTGACGCCCACATGGCCCACGGGAACCCTCCCCGCTCACTCATTCCTTACCCAGCAAACTTGCCTGCTAAATTGCTATTTTTCAGGCCATCAGCTATTCTGCTTGGGAGATTTAGATTAGCTAGGAAGCAGGAAATGGTTGGATTTCTTGCTTTCTAGCTCGTCTTTAGATCTTCGGCTCTGCTTTTAAGAACAGCCGAACCTCCCTTAGGACTGAAGGTCCTATTATTCAGTGCAGACTCACGGCAAGCAAATTTGAGAGACTGAGCTAGCCGATGGCAGATAGATAGATCACTGAATGATTCTGTGAGCAACTCAATCTGCCTGCTTGCTTTGCCTGATTTGGGGTAAAAGTTGCTCTTTTTTAATAAAAAAAAAAATCAATATTTACATACA